TTTTAAAGCAGAAAAATAAGAGAAACATAACGTAGAAAGTGAACTCAGTGGCTTCTACATGGGGTAAAATATTACAACCGAAAAAATGAACTCATTAAAAAGCTAAAGGGGAACCTATCAGACTTAGATAGGGTCACTTATCAAAGGTGGAAATGGGGCATTTATTAGAAAAGGTTATGAGAAAAGGGAAGAGGTACTTATCAGAAAGCAAAAGGGACACTAGTCTTAATAGTAAAAGGGGCATTTATCAGAGTTACAAAGGGGGTACTGCTAGCACGTGAAAAGGGGCACTTATGATAAAGGGAAAGGAGAATTTACTAAAAAAAAGTAAAAGGGCACTTTTCAAAGTGAAATGGGCGCCTATCCGAGTACCGCCTCTGACTGAAAGTACATATTGAATAGCATAGTAGTATAGGTCCTGTTTAAAAAAGTAGACCCCCAATCTTGTAATTTGTCAAATTGATTTTTTTACTCATTTTTGTGTTGAAAGAAATTGGACAATTATCCGATGCTACATAATGTGATTACCACTTGAAATAAAATAATCATAACTTTCTTATATTTTGTCAGTTTTTATTCGAACCTTTATTAGCCTTCTTGTCCGATTATTCTTCTTTCTTGTACAGTAGTTTGATATCAAGGTTGTATTGCCCTTTAAACTTGAATCTGCTTGGACTAACTTACATGTTGAAAATGTTTCAGACCAGCAAACTGTCGGAAGATCATAAGAACTATGAAATGAATTCATTTTGTACAGCTTTTAGAGCCAACATAAGAGGGATATAGACATATTATTACGACAAAACTATACAGGAGAATCCGAAGGAACATACATGATGTAGATATAAAAAGATAGACTGAAGGAAATAGATGATTTAAGAGAGAAGGAATAGAAGGAGGGATGGTCGAAATAGTGGATGCGTAGAGGCTTTCATGAACATGTGTGTTTGTAAGAGAGAACAATAATATGGGTATATTGTGTACGGGGGGGGGGGGGTATTCACATATTAGGACGTACGGGTGTGTGCCTCTCTAATTTGACGTTGATAATGATAAAGATGATGACGATGAGGATGATGATGATGATGACGAGAGTGGTGGTGATGATGATGGTGGTGATGATGGTGAGGATGATGATGATGATTGTGTTGATGATGTTGATGTTTATGGTGATGATGATTATGATAATGATAATGACGGTGATAACGATGATAATAATAATGATGATTATGTTGATGCTTAATATGATAATTGTGATGGTGGTAGTGATGATGAACGTGATGGGGATGATAACTCATTTAACCTCAGTGCTCGATAAGCAAATACCTGACTAAATAGATAATCAACAAGATCAAAAATTCAACCCATACGACTCTAATTGGGTCACTTTCCCCAAAAAATCCCTAAGCATTGGTCCCACTTTTAACAAAAATACCATTAAATATGAGTCCGTTTCTTCAAAATATGTTAAATTTGCAAAATGTTCATGATAATAATTATGAGTGATGACAGTTATCATGATGATGTTAATAGTATGAATAACAGAACTGCTTTCAATTTATACTAATTTTAGAAATATGACCATAATTAAGAACAACAATCGTTTGTGGCATTAAACCTTACGATTTTAAAGGAAAGAAAGCGTAAGAAAAACTCAAGAGAAAAACTAAAATTCAATCAAAATTATTATGTCATCAAGTAAAATAAAAATAAATATATTACTTTTTCTTCTATCCTGCCTTAATGGGCAATCCAACCTTAGTAATAAGTTCTTTTCTTTTAAAGCAGAGAAATAAGAGAAACAGAATGGAGAAAGTTAACTCTGTTGCTTCTACGTGAAGTAAAAATTCAGGACCAAGAATCCCTAAAGCTGCGCCTAAAATGATTATATTTAAGCCAGATATAACAATATTTGGGGCTTCAAAGTAAGTTTAGGTTTACTGGCCCATTTTTCGACGGGTGGGTAGGGGGAAGGTAAAGTCTAGCTCGAATATCAGTCATACAGTGTTATAGCGCCCATTTTGCTATTTTATTGTCATACATATAGATCAGTTAAAGGCTAGCTTTTATCTGATTAGTGCTGTACGTCTCCATGCATATTCCTTATTCCAAATGTATTTTCCTTTTATTTCAATTTCTTTAACTTTCTCCCCCTATTCTTCTCTGCTATGTAAATGTTTACAGGGCGTACGCAACATAAGGCTATGCTTTTATCATTAACGCCTTCTCTATATTATGCTCTCAAAATAATGGATTGTGTCATTATATGTATTTACTTTCTTTTGAAAGAATGAAAGGAAATAAATGTTACTCTTAATGGAACTGAACTGTTTTCGTTCAATATATCAGGACCCATCTTACAAAGAGTTGAAATAAATCGCAACGATGTACATAAGAGATAGGGGAATGCAAACTAGCGATTGGTTGGAGGACTTGCGATTGATTTGGATCAGTCGCAACTCTTTAAAGGAAAGGGCCCAGGACATACAAATAAACTATGTTCATATAAATATAATAATAGGCTGTTTGAATCGTACGCAGCCTTCAGAGTCAGGTGACGGTTGACCGTGCCCGAAAAGTTGACAACCTGAAACTTCTTAGCTCTACCCACCAGATGATGAGTAAACCAATAAATGTGAAGATCTAAGATAATGAATATCTTTTTTAGATACTTTTCTCCCTTTTTATTTCAATGATATTTTATTTCCTTCCTCATGGAATCACATTACAAGAAATTATCACAATAAGTAATATAAAAATCTCAAACTATACATGTTTGTACATTTTTCTTTTCATATAACAGTTTATAATCAAAATAACAATATAGGAAGGTATGAATTTTACATAGTCCCACCCAATCACACACTCGCACATCCTCAACTCGCACCACACAAACTCATGACACCCCTCCCCCTCTAGCTCACGGCCCGCCCCACACCCCCTTTCACACCAACACACACACTGTATGCAACCTGTTCCGGTTTTGCTGATGTGTTAATAGCATGTTTAGCGCCATCTCCGGGATCGAGTTTTTATTGGACGATCACTTTTTGGACGATTAAAGTCTCAATCTGTTTGTCGGTCAAAGGTTATCGGGTTTTCCCAGTACCTAAAAATAGATTGACAAACTGAATACATACCATAGAGACATATACTTAGTAGTATATATCTCTATGATACATACATATAGTACTGATTATGATCAGTGCACCAGTCCGTTGTAGAGGCAAATAGCGGTCATGTTTGGTTTACTTATTTATAATAACACCTAGACGTCAGACCGATACGTAGTTACGGAAAAAGAGGTGAGTGAATTAAAACGTCTGTGTCATTAATAAAAGACATTCGGTAATTGTTCGTCATATTTATATGTTACATTGACGTATATATACAGTATGAGTAAAAAGAAAAACAGCAAATTATTATACATCTTATGACAGTGTTTTATCCCAAATCATTTGGTATCATTTTTGTGTGGTATGTGTTCACGCTTTGATGAACAGGAGGCATTGTTTGCGATAGTGCAAAAATCGACTTGCGCCAAAGTTGCTGATGTGATGTTTGAATAAAACGATTGGGATTTAGGTATTAAATCGGTTTTTGCAGATCCAAACAACATCCCTTACAAAATTAATCGTGCCACACATATTAAATATCGAATATCAAATTTCAACGAACATGTGCGCGCGCGCGTGTGTGTGTGTGTGTGTGTGTGTGTGCGTGTGTGCCTTTGCTTCTACATTTGAGACATTCAATTCATTCTCTCACTCCGCTAATCCCAACATAATACATGCTGTAGGCATCACTTTGGCGCAAGTCGATTTTTGCACTCTCGCAAACGATGCCTCCTGTTTATCCAAGCGTGAACACCTTACCACACAAAATGATACCTAATGATTTGGGATAAAACACTCTTTCATAAGATGTATAATAATTTACTGTTCATAAATGATTTTTTTGGCAGAGTCCCAGACACTTTGGGGAGCTTTGTTTTTATCTGCTTTATAAAATCATCATCTCCCTTAGACTGAAATAGTTAGAATAGTGGGTCTAAATTACTGAACGCTGCACTACATGTACTGTTGAATTTAGTGGTCTAGATGACTCGAAAATGATTAGTGAAGAGCGATTGAGCTAACACCAACATGAGGATGGCGTATGGGTGAGCTCCCTTAAACAAAACAGATCTAGTTTGAAACCCGACCGTAAGACTTTAATGCACGTGATCGTGAACCCGGAAGTAACGTTGGGCGCATTATCATATTTGATATCGTTCATACGTATAACTTCTCAGTGTTTGTTTGTCCTGGGAATTAGGGTATCTTTGATTCAACACTGTAGGGTCGGGGCAATTAACCCACGTTGTCCCCTTCCACAGCTTAAAATAAAATTAATACAATAAGAAAATCAAGACGATTGTTACTTTTTGATCCAAATTCGTGGTTTATTATACTCAACTCGAGCAACATCTGAAATTAGCATATCCCGAATCATCTCATTTGCATATTCGTAACAACACCTATTGGTTCACTATTGGTTCAACAAGAAAGTTTTTATGCAGACAACAGACTTCCATAGCAGCGGTCAATTCTAATAGCAGTCAAGGAGTATAAAGTAACCTTCCAACGTTTATCCAATTTCTTTGGCGTCTTTCCAACGCAGTGGTCTTCCATACTTATCTAACATATGTGAAACAGTTACAGTATTATCATTATCATCATCGTTTTTCCCCATTACCATGTACATTGAATGAAGAGCGACAATATTATGAAAGAGGTTTGTTTTTTTACTACATTCAGTTGATGAATAATATGATTTATTTTTAATCAAGATGCTTTAAACGGAATATCATATTTTGTACGCGTTATATTTTGCAGGGAAAAGACGAAATGAAAATGATAAACACTCTTTGTTAATACGATGAGATTAATCAAAGCTATATTAATCATTATGGGTTTCATTCCTTTTCTTTTATTTCGTATTTCTGTAGAATTCGAATCATGGCTGAGGCATTAAAGAATGTCATTACTCAGAATCTGGAGTGTCCTGTATGTCTGAATACCTTCACCGATCCAAAGATCCTGTCTTGTTCTCACACCTACTGCAAGGCCTGTCTGGACAACGTCTTGGAACGCAATGGTCACGGCCAGATGCTCCGATGCCCTGTCTGCAGAGCTGAAACCCAGGTGCCCGACCAAGATGTCAGCAAATTACCGACAAATCTAGCTTTGAAGTCTCTCATAGAGGATGTGAAGAATCAACATCAGTTTTGCACGAATTGTAAATCCGAGGACAAACCCCAAGCTGTTGTCTACTGTCAAGACTGTGGCAAGTATCTCTGTATCACTTGCCACAACGCACACTCTCTGTGGCAAGACTTCATCAGTCATGATGTCTTAGCCATAGGTGAGATCGAATCAGGGAAGGTGTCAGTACGTAGATACCGAAAATGCAAGAAACACCCCAAACAGGATGAGGAGTGCTTCTGTTCCGACTGCAGGAGATTTGCCTGCTTCAGGTGTGTTGTCATGGAACATAAAGACGAAGGACATCGGGTCATCGAGGCAGCTGTTTATGAAAGCAGCCATATGAAGAGTATCGAGGACCTCAAATCCAAGGCGGATAAGAAACGCTCTTGCTTTCAGAAATACGTCGATTTCATTGATGACCAGAAGAAGCATGTGAGCAATGTTCAGAAGCAGTGTACAGATGATATCAACAAAGCATATGAAGAATCAGTCCGGCAGTTGACAGAAAAGAAAGAAATCCTCATTGATGAAGTTAAGGGTAGGTCTGAGGGAGTAGAGAAAGAACTGGACGAAATGAAGAAATCGGCTCAGAGGCACATCACTCTCTTGACCACCATAGCTGACGTGGTAACCAATATAACAAAGATACCGTTAGATATGGATTCTTTGGCTGCACACGACACTCTATGTCAAGACTTACAAGAGGCCTTGAAACAAGAAGATCCTGACTACAATCAGCCGATGCAATCGAGTAAGAAAGGGAAAAGTGTCACTTTTGAGAGAAACGATGGAATGGACGAGATAACTCTTGGTAAGATCGTAAGTGCAGTTGCAAAGAACATCGCTTTGCCTACTAAGAATAGCATGAGTGCCATGGTTCGTACACCAGACGGTAGGATGGCAGTGGGGTGTTGGACGGGTGGCATAGAGATCTTCTCTGCTGATGGTCAGCACCAGCAGAAAGTTTTCAAACACGTGGGGATTCTTGGAGTAGGGTCCTCTCTGATGAACGGTATGTAATACTCGATGCCTCAAACAATTATATCACACTATACACACAAGCGTACGCAAAGTTGAATGTTAGATTTGAGACTCTGGGTTGCGATGAAGGTGGATTTCCTAGCCTCACTGTGGACAGTGATGATCAGATCTATGTTAGCTACAAGAAAGCACAGAAGATCCAGGTATTCTCACCAGCAGGGGGAAGGGCGATCAGGGAGATACCTTGTACTGGGTATGAAGTTGTACAAATTACTAGTTATAATGATTACCTAATCACTGCGTCTGGTAACACAATACGATTGATTGACAAACAAGGTGTTGTAAAATATGGATTAGTGAAATTAGATGGTATTCTACGTGCTGTTGTGTCTCAAGGAAATACAATCCTGATAGCCACCGTGAAGCACAATGTCGGTTTGGTCAGCATTGATGAGTACACTAACAAGCTGAAGCATGTCCAGAATCTAATCGTTGATTACAAGATTGAGAAGCCCGAGAGAAAGTGGTACCTTCTCCAGCAGTACCGATCAGGAGAGATAGCTCTCTGCACTCACGATAGACTCTATATATTCGACTGAATTTAACAGATGATGACTTCTTACTTGCATTGTATGGCACTGCTCTTTTCAAGCCCGCAGGAAGACGTGTGTGGGGGGGGGGGGGGGGGCTGCGACCGAACCTTTTTATTTCGCATAATATTTTGTTTTTAGATAGACCACTCCCCGCAGCCCCCCTTTTTTGTCGATTAATTTAGGGCAACACCCTGGCGGTCCCTATCACCATTTCAAATATAACTAGATTTGTAATACTTGTTTGGAACAAGTATAGGTGGGCTGATCCAACAAAAAATTGAGACAAAATGAAGGGTACATTTGAGATAGCTTTTTGTCTCAGCTACAACATACTCGAAGTTCAGCGTAAAGGAAGCTAAACCGACGTAGATATTGCTCGCGAAAGACGGGAATGTAGAATCAAGTTTTGAGAAAAAGTAATGTCCCATAGAGAATACACGCAAAATGTGAAAAATTGACATGCCTCCTTTAATCGCAAAAATACGCCATGATGCCTTTGTCAAAATGAAAAATTGTGACAACTGGATTTGTAGCGAATTGTCTCAGCTAGAACATATCAACATTTTAAAGAAAATCGATCAATTTTTAGAAAGATACAATCAATTTTCCAAAAATATGCTGACGTCATTATAGGCAAATTGAAATTTTGAGTTCAGAGGCCATTATGATGACGTCATGAGTTAATTGAGGGTCAAATGAGACATGAAATCATATCTCTGATTCATACTCAATCAAAATATGAAAAAGAAATTGGGGTCACCTTGTATCCTAAAGAGCTACAATGGATTTTGCATAGGCATGTTTTTGCCCATATATGTTATGTATTACAAGAGCTCGCGCGCACGGAAATTTATGTCTAACGGTCGATCATTCCGTCATTAATAGTCATAAAGAGACAAAAAATGGTATCAATTTGTTTGTAAAAATATGTGCAACATTATAAAAGAAAAAAAAAGGCGATTCTATGTCGTGCAATAGTTTTACGCGCGAAAACGCGCACGCATGCGCGTGTGCGCGATATTTTATAAAATGCTTAGAATGGCCTAAAACGTATGCAAAATGATTTTGAGACGCTTTTGAGCATTTCAAAATTTTGCGCGCGCATTGACGCGCGGTTGTACGCGCACGCGCGCGTTATTTGACCTGAAATTAACCGGACGGATATTGACCTTGATCATGATAAATATGAATGAGAAATACTTTTTGGTTATGAAGATATGATCATGTGTTGATTTTCGTAAAATTTTACAAAATGGCGCCTAGATGACGTCATCAGTAAAGTTCAATCTTAAAAACGTTATTGTTCTTTGTACATATGCCTATACATATGTGTACCAAATTTGAAGGCATTTGATTGAGCCATTTTCAAGTAATCGTGCTTACAAAAAAGTGGTTCGAAATAGGAAAAATAAACTAGACATATAATACTTGTTTGGAACAAGTATAGGTGGGCTGGTCAACTAAAATTTGACACAAAATAGAGCAAAAATAAGCGAGATACTGTTAAAAAACAATGTCATGTAGATTAATGATGTGAACGAAATTCACCTTCCATAGTCATAACACGCAACTTAATAAATTTCTGATATGTGCCCTTTAATCGTAATTTTCACTATGATGACGTCATCAAAATGAAAAATGGTGATGACAAAGACTGTAGAGAATTGTCTCAGCTACATCATATCGAAATTTGGAAGAAAATCGATTAATATTTACAGAGATACAATCAATTTTAAATAAATATGCTGACGTCATAATATGCAAATTCGTATTTTGAGTTCCAAGGTCAATATGATGATGACACGATATACTTAATGGCCAAATAAGACATGAAATCACATCTCAGACTCATACTCTATCCGAATATGAAAAAAAATTGAGGGTCTCGGTGCATTCTAAAGAGCTATAAAGCATTTTGTATAGGCCTGTTTTTGCCCATATATGCTATGTATTAAAAGAGCTCGCGCGCACGGACATTTATCTTGAATGGACGCTCATCTTGTTATAAATGGTCATAAAGATATGAACGTGGTATCAAATTGTACAAACAAATATATGAAATATCATGAATGAATAAAAAATGGCGATTCTATGTTATGTAATGGTGTTACGCGCGAAAACGCGCGCGCATGCGCGTGTGCGGGATTTTTTATGAAATGCTTAAAATGGTCTGAAACGTATGTAAAATAAATTTTAGACGATTTTGAGCATTTTGAAATTTTGCGCGCGGACGTACGCGCACGCGCGCGTTTTTTGATCTGAAATTGACCGGACTGATATTGACCTTGATCATGATAAATATGAATGAGAAATGGCTTTTGGTTATGAAGATATGATCATGAGTTGATTTTCAGAAAATTTCACAAAATGGCGCCTAGATGACGTCATCAGTCAAGGTCAAGGTCGAAAAAATGTCTGTGTTTTGTTCTAATGCCTATACATATGTGTACCAAATTTTAAGATATTTGATTGAGCCATTTTCAAATTATCTTGTACACTAAAAAGTGGGTCGAAATAAGTAAAATAAATAAATAATAAATAAAGGTGATTTTAACAAAAATATAAGGTGGTCTGTATTAGATACAGCCCACCGGATAAAGGCAATTCTAACGAAATTATAAGGTGGTCTGTACGTTATACAGCCCACCTGAAAATAAATAAATAAATAAAGGCAATTCTAACGAAATTATAAGGTGGTCTGCACGTTATACAGCCCACCTGATAACGGCGTCCCTGTTCTCAAAGACACAGCAATACAACTTTCAAGACAATGCTCTCTGTATTAAAAAGGGAAGCCCTTTTCTGCTGGTATGTTCGAGCCAGTCCAGCAAAACAGGCCTGTTTTTTGTGACTTCATAAAGTAAGGATATATATAACATCCAGTGGAATCAGTTTTATCTTGAACTAGATGAAATGGAGTTTTGATGAATGATTTAGAAATGATATTTCTAGATCATGTATATAGATCAATTTGAATGATTGAACCTTTCTAAAATACAAAAAGTAACCTTTCTTTTAATGTACCTCTGGTGTCTTTATCTTTCAAGATTTTGTTGTTGTTGATGGCTCTACATATGAATGTGACATTTTTAGTAGCTGTTGTAAATATATAAATGATGTAGACACAATTTCATTATTGAGGACTAAAAGATTATTTTACAGTAGGAGGTAATCATCCTAGTAATGGAAATTGTATATATTGCTGTTAAATACATTGAATATTTTTCCTTCACTTTCTACATTGAATTTCAGATCACTGTCCGATTATTCGAACTACTTTTTATATTTTCCCAAGAATCATGAGAGGGAATGCCACTTTTTTATTTTAATTTCTACTTCTAACAATTTATCTAGTTGTGTTCCAAGAGGTTTGTTTTTAAAGCCGACCTATTGATTGCATGATGTACGTTGCAAAAGTACTGTAAAAGCAAATGTCAAACATAAGGGTTGATGTTTTCATCTGAAAGACTTTGATAAGCTGTTGTTTGTGTTCTTTGTTTACTTTCCGTCTGGCAAGGAAGGGGGAAATAGCAGCTTACTTTTGTTTTTGTCAATAAAAATTTCATGTTATATTATGTCATGAACGGTGATGTAAATCCCATCAGCCATATTTGAACTGTTTACAAAAAATGACGCTATACACACATACCAAACACGACACGCAACACGTGCAAACTATCATCTTCCTCTTAACAGGGCCCTGTCTTTAATAAAGAGTTGATATCAATCACAACTATGTATATAAGAGATAGGAGACTCCAAACTTGCGATTGGTTGGAGGACTTGCGATTGTTTTGGATCAATCGTAACTCTTTGTAAGACGGGGCCCAGGAGAGTTTTCGCCCCAAAATCTATTTCATACACAGGACCAAACTTCTGGACCACCATTGATCAGAATCTCAAACAGCTTAAAAATTGTGGCAGCTTTAAAAAACATATCAAATTGTTATTATTGAATTCGTACGTGTAATGCACAACTATATTATTTTTCCCGACCTTGAACATTCTATTCTAAAACTTCCTTTTCTCTCTTCCCATTCTTTACCTTCTCTTCCTAGTTATCTTCTTTCTACCATTCATCATTCATATCATTTCATTATTTTTGTCTGTATATCTGCTTTTTAATTATTATATACTTCTACCTTACTATGAATGATAAAATAATTTTGAGGAACTTAAATTCTACAAGCTATATGCTTTTTATTGAGTTCTCTTTTTTCACATGTAATTTCGAAATTATTTAGTGTAAATGCCATACAAACTTATGCTGTGTAGATGTCTTTATTGTTCACGAATATCAATTTTGTAAATATGCTATGTTTTGTTAATGTATTGTTTCTTTCTCATTTGAAATAAAAGAAACTAAACTAAACTGAAACTGAATTATATCTTTTTAAAGCTCGGTCACTTATACAGGTTACTGCTAGCTACTACCTACCAAGCAACTTTGATATATTTGTTCCAATGTATATACATGTACTCTATTATTTGTGTGTAACATTGTATTTTTTTCATGTACACGTATGTATGTTATTTTTTACTAGCAATGATAGATTGAATTGGATCGAATAAAAAATATAGTTATTTATACGACATTTTATGAAGTAAACATATATGTGTTCAACACATGTATTAACAAAACAGAATATGAAATATGTGGTGTCTACGAGATGATTTGCAGGGGAGGGGGAAGCACAAGTCAAATTACCTGACAAACACCCCCTAAGAAGTAAATGTTATCAAATTTAATAGGGTGGGGTTGGCGTGCAAGTGTGTATAAGAGGGGTAGCAGTTTTGTTATGCTAGAGGGAGCTTGTGCAACATTATATACTACTGTTTTATATATATATATATATATATATATATATATATATATATGAAATGTACTCCTGTTTCTTATGCAGTTATAATGTCTATTATGCCTTTCTCCTTACTACATGTAGATCATTTTTCTATTTTTTGGATATAAGACAACATACTGCAATATGGTAGCTACCCAAACTTTC